TATCCTTCTATATGAAAATGCAGTTGCCTGTCTTGGTAATATCATCTTGGTAATGTCCCTAAAGACACAATGAAACTCTAGATTGATTTTAGTGCTATTTTATTGTCCTCATACTTCTTTAAAAACATGCAGAAGCTAGGTTGAAAATGTCTTATAACATTGAATAGGAGTCAAAAAGCACACTTTTCAAAACGTGTTTTTCAGCCAAAATAAACGTGTTTTTTCAAACTTTGGAATCTGAATGTAACTGCTGGGCTCAGAAGAGCACACTGAGTCAGCTCTTAACCCCAGTGTGCTTCTTTTTAAAAAAAGGAGTTGTCGATTTCTATTATGTGTGTCACATAACGCTATGCAGTAAAATGTTCAACAGCACTATTGTTGTAACTGTTCACCGCAGTTTCTCTGACATGAATGACTTTTCTAGTGGTTGTATTTTGTGCTTTGGGAAAGCTTGCAGTGGTCAGTCACAGCTTAGCTTTGCTTTCTAGGCTTATTGATGTTTGTTTTTTTCAAACATTTGATAGAAAGATGTTAAAAAATTCTGTCTGTAAGTCTGTAATGTTTTGTCTATTGTTGTGCCTATGCTTGCAGTATATTTCAAAGGACAAGGAACACAAATGAAACCTTAAGGTTTCCTGTGAGTGGTGGAAAGTTAATTGCATGTTTACATGCCCCCCACACAGGCACTGTTTGAAGCCATTAGCATTCCCCGCTTGCCCGATGTTGACCTTGAGAAAGCGATGGCTGACCTTTGCCCCCGTGGCAGTCATGATGACAGACGAGCTAATGTGATTGGTGGACAAGGTCTGTGTCACTTCCAAAGGATTAGGGTCAATGCACAGACTGACATGCTTGACTATCTTTGGACAAAACCTGTCATTACACACAATCTGCATAGCAGAGCTGAATGCCTGTCAGGGTGATAAGTTTATTTCAGCCTATGGATGGGCCGATGACAAATTCTGATGGCTGGACAATGCCTTTGCAAACTGCTCTCCTATAAAAATAGGCCTTTTAGAAGATACATTTTTCTATTTTAATGCATACAAAGATCTGTCACGGAACAATGTGATAATTACTCTGGTATCCTATATTGTAGTCATGCAACATTTTACAGTACCCTGGTTTTGGACAAGCAGTTGAAGCAAATTTGCGCCTCAAAACATTTCAGTTTTTATGAAGCCCCATTAAATGTTTACCTCATTAAATCCTTTGCACCATTAGATTCTGTATGGTTTATGCGGTTTCTTTAGATGTGGAAGGAAGTTAAAAGGAAGATTTAGGAGTTTTTTTAATAACGAACTAGTCTGAAATTTTTAGGGTACTGGAAGTCAAACACAGATTTGCAAACTGTTCCTAACAGGCAGGGCTGGAGATTTTGCAGTGAGCTGTGAGCTGGAAAGTTTTGCTGAATGCTTTCTTGTTTTTAATAACTCATCAATAATTTCCAGGCAGTAATGGTGTCTAATACTTGCAGTAATTTTACTGCCTTTCAGCAGCTTACTGTTGTCTTCAGTATGGATTTCTGAACAGTGATGGGATGTGTCCCATTGCTATGAGGTGTTAGAGTATGTGTACAGTACCTCACTT